AAGCCAGTGCTAAAATTAACATTGGCCTACCGCTTGTACTAATAAAGTGCCAAGGGCCTAAGTGGTCACCTTAATATCAAAAAAAAAAAAAAAAAAAATATCGATAATTTCATTATCATCATTATCTACTGCTAGTAATGTTGTCTCACGAGCTAATCTCCAAATTTTACCATATTTATTTCGTTTTTGTAGAGTTTTTTTTGTAGCTAGAGCCATAACTGGAACTGATGATCTTTGAATCAGAATCTCATCATCATCATATTTTTCATTAGCAATTTCCTTTCTACGAATAAATATAATTTTCTCATTTCTATAATTTAGATTTTCCTAATAAGGGTCTTTATATCATTATAAAGGGATCATCGATATGTGGAATGCTGTGACATTAGAATGTATTATAATGCGAAAATAGTAATGGCAAATAATTCTCCTAGAAATTGATATAAGACATGAATATAAAAAAGATACCGGGTTTACTATGGCTATAAAATGTATGTAATGCTTTTTGTCACTTCGAATATCAGAAATTTTTCAGATTTCTTGTGTATTTTCACTTCCAACTTCATTTATAATAGCCTGAAGAGTAATTTTATGTGCATCGTAATTATTTTTAATAAATCCATTTGAAGCTTCTTCAGTACTTTCTTGTTTAAAAATTAGCTCTTTGAGTGTTAGTTCAACCCTACTTGCCGTAAGAAACAAATATTGAGTCATTTCGAACTTTACTATGTTATTAATTGCCTCTGTAAGATATTTTTCAATAACATTAACTACTTCAGGGAAAAGATCTTGTCCAGTGGTAGGCATAGTTGCAATTGTTGTAGAGTTTTTATACTGATTATATCTATTCTATTGTGTTTCTAATTCTAAACTTCTTTCAAGGCGATCCGCAAGTTCATATAATATACTGTTTGATTTTAGTTCCTTTTTGATTACCCAATTATAGTATTCAACCCGAGCTGTACTCTCAATCCTGGCAGTGAAAATTTTAGAAAGGTATGCACGTGCTCAAGATCTATTATATAGATGCAATGTATGTAACAAATAATCCTTTGCTATTGAATATTTGTTAAGCATTTCTTCCCAACGTTTATGAAAAAGTGGTTCGCAAAGGCTATTATGACACTGGTAAAAAGTTTTTATAAAGTCTTCCTATTTGTTACCTAATTTAGCTTTTAAATTCTTAAGTAAATTCTGTTCAATATAGAAAATATAATGTGTAGTATATGTTTTAAAGGATGTAACATGAATCGCAGCATCGAGTGCTAGATTTGCATCAGTAAATATAACTAAGGGTTTGATTTTTGTAGTATTTTTTATACAGGTCAAGATTCAACTATAAGTATTAAGAGTCTCATTGCTCACTAGAGCCTGACAAATAAGCTATATTTTTCTATTATTGTCAATAATTACAAATAGCCCCAAGAGTATTTAATATTGATTGGTTTTTGCCATATTATCACTAATGACCACATCATAATATTTTAGATACAAGTCGATCTGCTTAGAAGACATCCAAAATAATTGTATAAGTCTGTTATCTTTGTTTAACTCAAATTCTATAGCCCACCTAGAGTTTTCTATTTTATTAGCTAATAAGGAGTTAAGAAGTTTTAATGCATCTTTTGCTTCGTGCTTATCTCTTTTAAATTTCTGGATACAATTAGCAAGGTCACTATCAAGAAATTGCAAATCAAAAAAACGTGCTTTTAAAATGTTGTGCTGAGAAGTAATAGATAAGTTTCTATATTTTGTCATAATTTCTATTTCTTTTTGAGCATTCTCTGTAAGAGAATGATATTTGATCCCAAAATTTTGTGTTTCTATATGTAGTTTGTGATTATACTTTTTAACGATTGTGGTGATTGATATATAAGTCCCAACTTCTTTATAAGAGAGATTCACATGCTATTGACAATTAATCTTCTTCATTCTCGTATTTTTTGTTTACTCTTCTGATTCTTATGAGGCTTATATTTTCCACCAAACTCACAAATAAAAGTTTGTTTATAAATCATTCCCGCTTTATTTTTTTCTAAACGATACTTAATTACAGTAAAGCTGTTTCGTTTCCCATACTTCTCAAAGAATGGTTTAACATCTACTCAAGAAACAAATGTAATACCCATACAAATATCTTCTGAAATTGTTTCAACATTATTTGTACTATCTAAAACTTCATTATTATATTCTTCAAGATTAGCACCAAGCTCATCAGTCAGTTCATCTTCATCTTGACTATTCAAATTATCAGGTTCGTCTATAATTGAAATAGCAGGTTCACTCATATTTGACGCATCAGGTTCGTTCATATTCAAGGCTTTTATTTTGCCCTTTTCATTGTATTTTCAAATATCATCACTTTGATTATAGAATAAGTCAGAGGTATTGTTAGCCATAAGCGATTCAATATTATTATCAAAAAAAAACGTATTGTTCCATATCTAACATGTCTTCTGAATAATTATTTGAAAAATGGGGTGTGTTCAGTTCATACCAATCTGGTTCCATGTTTATTACTAAGTGGTTTGTTATAATAAGGTAAAATCGACAAGAAAATCAGATCTAGAGATAACAATAAAATTGGATCAAGAAAATTGAATGCAAAGAAGATGAAAATTAGAAAGCAACTCAAAGTGAAGACAGCAAAAAATATGATAAAAATAGGTGTAACACAAAATAAGATATAAATATAACAAAAAAAAATCAGAGGTAAGTGACTCAAATATAACTTTATACTTGTTTGGCATGTGATAAAATATATATATCATATTATGATGTAATTTACTAGTGGCGATGAAGATTTCATATCACGGCTGTGATCACGTGATTAAATATCGCTCTAGTCTTGTAGTTTCAATCATATATGTGTAAGGTGTGATGCATTGATATGCATTGCATACTAGTTTATATTTATTTTAAAAATGCAATAAATTAAAGTATCGCAAGATACTAAGCATACAATTATTCTTATTGGATAATATAAATCATATTACTAGTGTTTAACACTATATATATTTTTTAATAATTTTGCTAGTAAATTTTAGAGCCAGAATATTGGTATTAAAAGTAAAATTTAAATTAATATAAAGTTTTTAGAAGTGCTAAATATTTTTACTTAGCTAGCTTTTAAAATATAAAGATAGCAATATTAAATACTAGTGTGATTTAGTAAAACCAATATTATTAATTATTTAGAACTTGTAATTATATTATAAATAATTTAAAAATTCTAAATTTTGAAGTATAAAAAGAGTTTTAATAAGATACTGTATTATAGGGGTTAGGGTTTCATAGCCTAGTGGTCTAGATGCCTAACTCTTCACAGATGAGATCAATAGTTCGATTACATCTAGTGGTAATTAATTTAATTAATTATCTTTGTAATCTTCGGAAGCTTTCGAATTCGAAACCCTGTGGTGGTAAGACTATGTGATATATATATTTGGCCGATAAAGAATTCTTGGAAGGAGCCCCAAGCTATGGAGAAGACTAGGCACTGCGTATGACATGAGTCACGGAAGGTATTACTGCAAAAGGCTGTGCATGTGAATCCACGATTGGCAAAGTAGCACCAACAACTCTAAGGTGGCATTGGGATCTTGATTGGGAAGACGGCTGTATGTGGTATTTCCAGAAGTGGTGAGAGAAGTGGTGAACATAGTAAGGGGTTGTAGTAAAAGGATGGCTTTACTAAATATAGAACACCTCTGGTACAAAGAAACAATGAAAACCGGCTAAAAAAAACCCCAAAAAGCATGGAAGCAAGTGATCTGGTAGTATGAAAATAAAGACAGGCTAGAGAGTAATAGTTGCACAACCTATATGGAAGTCTATGATAAAATATGGCAGAAGCGTGGGTCCCAGATTACTGGCTTGTAACAGTGATTAAATAAGGTATATAACTCTCATCCTAAGGATCTAGACTTCTATAACACTATATCAATAGGGAGTACTATAAAAGGATCAGTAGTCTAATTTGGTGATGTATGACACGAATACCTGGATTGACGTGAAATATCATTCTAGTTTGGCAACTTAACTGTTTGAAATACGGCTAGGCCTATAAAGTAACTTCTCTAGAAACACCAAACTAGAAGCACGAAGAGCGCCCACTCGAAGGACACCAATTTGGAAGTAATACAAGTACCGAATTAGAAGT